GTGAAGAAAATTGGTTTTATTGAGATTTTAAGGCAATAAATTATGACGGGTTTTAATAATACCATGATCGATTGGAGAGATGCTGACCCTAGTCTAGTATTGTCTATGATTTATAGCCCATCACTACTCTCCTAAACCTTCTTAATATCTCTCATTTATTACATTCATGTTTCAGATCCGACTACTTTTACAAATTAAAAACTCTACTTAGTATTGTTCGTGGACAGAAAACAAATTAATAATTTTTCATATTTATCTATATCATTAATCAAAGGGGGTTTCTTTCCTCTTATTTTCACATATAGCATGGGCCGCTTTAATCCCATTTTCACACACGAGACTCCCTGATGCCTCCTTTCCATACGCCATGAATAATGTTCTGTATACGCTCATATTTTCTTTGAAGTTTGGTTTGGACGTAATATCTGTAGAAGTCTAAAGATCTAAATACACACCACATTGCAGTCGTATGTTTAAGAGTAATGGTGAAAAAGCTTCCTCTTCTTAAGATTCGTCTGGTATTGGCATGGTTGGAATATTAACATATTATCTAACTGTCTTTTCATTGTCTTTCTGTGAAGAACCATAGACGCAATAAAATATGAGATTATTTGAGAGATTTTATCTTAACTGTTTCCCAATCCACGTTATGGCTTTCATATCACTTTCCAGTGAAATCCATAGCAATATTTTATCTTTTTAAATTTTCCAATTACTCCCGAGGGCGGAGTATCTGCTTGAAATTAAAAAGTTTCTTTGTGAAGATTCTTGATACATTTGGCGTAGATCATGAGTTCAAATCAATATGGAGTCTTGCTGTTGTCTGGGATGAAATATATATCTCTTGAGGAAAGGGAATGGACTGTTCAGTACTCGTAAAAAGATAGGAGCACACCACAGGAACACAATTCCCTCATCTACATTTACCATTACAGCACATCGAAAGAATTCAACTTATTAACTCTTCCTCATTAACAATAACCATTACAGCACATCACAGAACGAACTCAACTTATAAACTCTTTTTCTTCTAAAATAACCATTACAGCACATCGAAAGAACTCAACTTGCAAACTCTTGGTCTTCTAAATATCCATTACAGTACATCACAGGAACTCAACTTGTAAGCTCTTCCTTATTTACAATAACCATTACAGTACATCACTGGAACTCAACTTGCAAAGTCTTTGTTTTCTACAATTACCATTACAACAAATCGAAGGAACTCAACTTCCAAACTCTTCCTTTTCTACAATTCCTGTTGCGCCACACCGAAGGAACTCAACTTACAAACTCTACAATTAAAATTAAAGCATCATAGATTTTCTTTTCGTTCATTGCGAAATGACATCGTTATCTGATGATGGGTAATGGTATATCATACATTTGAAGTGCGAATTTGCATTATAAATAATGACAAAGTTTCGTGGAAATGTTTTGAAGTAGTTATAATCATGCTACAAATGAGTTTAAAGAGTATAATGGAACAGCAGGCGATATCACACAGAAAACATCACTTACAATGGAGGAAATGTTGATTGATCCAATCCATCTTAGAGGTTTTAATTTCTGTTTTACATCATGCTCCAAACAACTCATTGACCTGTCCATCAAGTGGATGTAGAGTAAGAGGCGAGTCAATATCATACAAAACTCCTGATCTCTAGAGGATGTCGTATCACAATCTAGTCAATAGAATAGACAATTTTAATAGAATATATCAAATCCTGGGGGATGTAGTGTGAGAAGCAAGTCAGTTTACAAAGGATGTAGTTTAAGTAGCGAGTAAATATTAAACATCGATTCAGAGAAAATTTGTTTCGTGGTTTTCCATTTCAATTCTTACTTTTTGGAAACTTTTATGAAAGGATTCTCAAGACCATATGTTGTCTTATGTCGTATATTTATAGTTCTGTTTTTATGCAGAGAATGACAAATAAACGTTAGAAGCAAACAAGAGTAGACGATTCTTTTTAGAGATACATTATCTAATAAGTGAATATGTGTATATTTGTGCATGATGTACAATTTAAAGACCTGTATGTATACTTTCAGTTTTTCGTATACTTTTATTACCCATTATATTTTACAATAATAAAACATTTTCACTGTTAAAATAGTGCTCAATACATCAATTGTAGTGCGATATAGAAATACCACTGTTAAAATAGTACTCAATACACCAATTGTAGAGTGATATAGAAATACCACTGTTAAAATAGTGCTCAATACATCAATTGTAGTGCGATATAGAAATACCACTGTTAAAATAGTGCTCAATACATCAATTGTAGTGCGATATAGAAATACCATTGTTAAAATGGTGCTCAATACATCAATTGTAGTACGATATAGAAATACCACTGTTAAAATAGTGCTCAATACATCAATTGTACAGCGATATAGAAATACCACTGTTAAAATAATGCTCAATACATCAATTGTACAGCGATATAGAAATACCACTGTTAAAATAGTGCTCAATACATCAATTGTAAAGCGATATAGAAATACCACTGTTAAAATAATGCTCAATACATCAATTGTACAGCGATATAGACAAATCAAAACGGAACAACATGGACAACATGAAGTTCTGTTTTGATAAATCTTAACGGTTATCGACATTTTCCGATGGAAATATCACTCACATGTCTTGATCTCAATAATATGTGTTAAAGATGATATAAATAACACCCTATAAACCTAACACTATCACCTCTTCCAAAGATTTTACTTAATTGTTGATGAACTAGACGCCATGTTTATACATTTTGATAATTGGAACAAGACAAGTCTTCACTTAAAACTGAAATATATAATACAAAATATCCGTATCCGTGTCCGTTTAAGGAGGATTTATATCATTCTTGACAGCAAACTTTCTTGATTTTGAGTCGGGAATCATGACAGATATGTATTGAGTTAAACTATCATTATAAGACGTTGACAAGCATGTTTATCAACATAACAAATACTTTACAATCTGAACGTGACTAGAATGGTTTTTCTACAACCTAAAATCTGTTGATTTGTCCGCCATTTATTAATTTATTATCGAATAAAAACAAATAATAAGATTAAAGTCTAGACTAGAATTAAACTTTTCATATTCAATTTCACCATCAATTTATATTTTTATTGAAAAATCAGATAAAAACTTATATTTCCAGTTCTATTATATTATTTTTCTTCTATCTATTTGTAGAAGATATCTATGCAAGTAACCATGGAACACAATAGCTTTCTAAAGGACAAAATGGTAGAAATCTATAGTAAAAGTAATGTGAATATTTCTGTCATAATCCGTTTTGTTTGGGTTTTTATTTAAAGTTATTTCAGGCAAATGGTTTTTACTGAAGGGATGCCTTCACACAGAATTAATCCAAAACTAGCCTTCTCGGTATGTTTGTCGTTGGGAATCTGTTCATATGTTTGTACATTATATACATTTGGTTATTATAGAAACACGGTTGGTATCGGATAACTCTTAGAAAACAATGACTTTAAATGGACATTACACAACACTATCTATTAATCTTGTATCATTATTTTATATAATTAAAGGCATTATCAGCAACCATATAGCTAAACGACCATTTAATAAAATATTGTTCCGGTACTTGGTGTATTACTGCTCTGATGCAATGAAACACTTATTTTGTAAATACAGTTTGGGACGGGACTACTAGCATACTTCCTGAAGGCTGTCAAATTTCAAATCCACAGAATGTTCTAGTTCATCTTCTCAAAGTCAAGTTTACGAACTGCGTTTAATACCTCCATTCCAATAAACACTTTTCACGGAAGTTTTTAAATGCAGAAAGAACTATGCAGTGTACCTCCGTGATACAAGAAATGTGGCTATTGGAGTCAAGGTATTAAACGTAGTTCATAATACTGTCAGGGGATTACCTATTGTATACAGATTTTCAAATTTGTCCACAGTTTTCGCAATGCGTTATACGAAGTCATAGAGCATTGATCTTCTGAATCACCGGCTTCTGTGAGGTACTGACGTAGACATATCCTGTAATTTGTAAGGAAACTTATTGATGTATAAAAGACACCCAAAAGAATGAAAAATATTTGTAAGACGTGATCTATTGAATTAAAGTTTCCCCAGTGGCGTTGATTTGTTAAAGGCACTCTAAAGATTGAGAAATGAAGGCTGAGTCTATTGAGAAGACACTGTCAATATTGGGTTTCAAGAAAATAACGTAATTCATCTCCAAAATCCAGCCTTTTATTGAATCTTCTCTATAGAAGCAGAAATAGAATTTTTCAGTAAAAGACTCCCCATGTTTTCAACAGTGTTCTTTCACTCCAAAAGATATATCTTTATAAAGAAATGTTGAACAGCAAATGTAGCGTAAGTCTTCTGGAAGTTCTATTGAAATAGTTCAGATCTTTCTCCCCATGTGGCCAGATCTAATTAATTAAAAAGAAATGATCGATAGATGTTAATATTTTTTTCTAACTACATTTTTTTTTCATTTCCACACAATACCCCTTATTTTATGTTGCAAAGTTGAAAGATGCGCATTTAATGTATATCTCGTCCGAGGGAATAAAGACCAAAATTAAAGATAAAATATTCTCATAATATATAATTGTGCTTTATTGTTCTATATATTATATAAAATATAATCATTAGGGCCCTTTTCTTGGAGACAACCATTTTGTGGCAATTTTTTTCAGTATAGGGCAAGAGTGTCAAATTTGATTCACCAAATGCTCCCTGGCAATTATTATACGTGTTTGAGAGATTTGTTTCCAGTTTATGTACATTATAAAACAATTATGATTCTTTTTGAAATATACTGGAGTACTGGATGTAATTTCAAGATTGTAAATGGTCTCGCACTACTTATAACATTCAAAGTTGTTTGACCTCATCCTCCAGTTTCCTTTCCTTCCATCAATGTACTTCAAGATCTGATCTTGACCATCGCCCATCTGGCCCTCGAGCTGCATTCGATACTTATTGCATCAATCCCTCACAAATACCAACTCTCCTTTCTTCCCTCTAAATAATCTTTTTTCAACATGGTGTGCATGAATCGATGATGCTTAGCCTCCGATTTCCACTTCTTCAACATTTCCTCCAGTAGAGTTATTTTCTCCAACATTTGCCGATAAGTATCTTGTTGATCGTTAAATCTTTCCCATACATCAATCAACACCCTGAAAACATTCATTTATATATTAATTGATAGCAATTCATTCATCCTTCCATTCGATAACTCAAGGGGTTAAAAATTAAATGGGGTGGATTCCGTTTTTTTGTTGGGATTTCAGATTAGATACAACAGACAGTTTGCAGTGAGGGAATTTTAACAAAGAACTTGATCACATTGAGCCTGGTAGTCCACGTCAAACTTAATAAACTTAAATCAACGACAAACCTGGTAAATGTCTAGATTCAACCTTTGAATTATAGGGATGCAAGCTAGGGACCTAATGATTCGGCGTGTTGCTTCACTACGACTGAAATATTGAATATGGATGTTGAGATTTAGAAAGAATCTTCTGAAAAATCATGAAATAACCCACCTATTTAACGATTGAACAGTTCTTCCAAAATATGCATTAATTTTCTCTTCTCTTTTCTTCCTCAAGTGTCCATTTTTAATATTATCTCTACCTGCCCTGTTTTTGTTAGTGAAATATTCTTTGAATTTATTACTCAGAAATGACTTTACTTTTGATTTACTCGTCTCTGTTGTATCGCTCGCTTCTAAACATTCTCTCAGGATACATAAAGCCTCTTTAACAAGACGCTTAGTTTCGTCATCAGCTTTTCCAAATAGAAATGGACGTTCTACGTTTTCAAATTCAGATATCAATTCTGCCTGCCAATTCTTTTCATCTTCCTCCATAGCTGTTCTAATCTTCTTTCCAACCTCCAAACCTCGTTCTACTTTCAACCTACATAGCCTATCTCTCGCCGACCAATCAGGAGTCCTGCACTTTCTTTGTTGCATCTTGTCTACTTCAAACAATCTAGACGTAGTAATATCAACAGATGCTCGTTGTTTTTGTGAAATTGGTGTCGAAATCTTAAGGGATGTTTTATCTGTTGACAATGTGTTGTTATCAGATGCTGTAGTAGAGGTTCGGTATACAGTTCTTCTTCCAGTTTGTGTAGAATCTTTGGGCAGTTGATTTACAGAAACATTTTCAGATAGCTGCTCATCAGGATTTTGAGAAATTGTAGGTAATAACCGAGGGGCCTTTGCTGTTTTGGGTCGCTTCACTTCACGATTTTTCCGTTCTTTGTCCTGAACTGTGATTGATTTAGAAGGTATCTCTTTGGCATTTGTTTGCTGTGTCCCGTAAAGTGTTCTGTCTCTCTTCAATGTGCCTTTATTATTTACCTCCTCTATCTCCCGTTGTTTCCGCAATTTGGACGCTCTCGTTTCTTTAATGAACACTGGCTCAGGCTTTTTGTATGGTTTGGGGGGAGCTGGTTTGAACGTTGGTGGTGGAGATCGTTGTCTTTGCAATGGTTTAACCTGTATATCAAATGTCATATCTTTTAAAGTCTCCTGCTCTCGCTTTTCGTCTTCTAATTTCTTTAGCCGCCGAAGCTTCGAAGCTTTAGTCTCCCGGACGGCGAAATCTGGTGGTGGAATAAGGTCACCATTGGGATAGTCCCCTGGGGTGTGAAATTTGAGGGGCGGATGAAATCCTGGCCGTGGTCGTCCTTTAGCTGTAGAAGTTGACAGAGTTCTTCTGTGACTTTTTGCCAAGGAATCTTTTACAGGGTGTTTGTCCCGTGCTTTGACTGCCGGTAACACGTTCTGTACATCATCTAGATCATTTTCCATCTGTAATCTATACTTCCTTAATCTTGAAGCCTTGGTTTCACGTACTACAATGTGCCCCTTGGGATGAAATGGCGGGACCATTGGTTTTGGAGTTTTTGGATTGCTTGGCATTCCATTACTTGGTAAATCAACGGCTTTTCCAGAGTTATCAGTGTAGGTTTGAGACACACTGTGCGATTCTGGGGAATTATCACCACTTTCAGTTATCCCATTGTTTCTTTTCAGAACAATTGGTTTTATTTCAGAATAAGAAGTCAGAGAGTGTTCAGCTTGAACTGATTTAACTCTCTGATCTTCCTCCTTTTCCTGCTTTTCGATTACGATTTTCATTTCACGGGGTAGAATGTCATGTAATCTTTCCTCCTCGTGCTTTTTCATGTAGGCATTGAGTTTATCTTCCTTCTCGTCGGAAATTTCAGGATCGTCATTTGTTTCTTCTCCAATCTCAGAGTAGTCGAACGTGTTTTTATTTTGGCTTGGCTCCATCTTTTGATAGCTCGCTTTCAGTTGCTTTTCCAATTGCCATTCATTCAAGGGTGATACTGCTCGTGCAGAGAACGGAGAGGAAGAGATACTGACTCGGTTGGCAGTTGTAAATATTGATGGATCAGGACTGCTCAA